GCCTCCAGCTGAAGACATGTGTATCTAACTTTGAACCATCCACAAGCTCCTGTTTCCACTAATGGAAATGTCAACCCTTTCTCTTGGTGTTAGGAAAGATTTCAGAAAATTGTAAAAGTTGTTCGGTGTAGGTAAGGCTATGTGATTTCTTTCTTTCCCTTATTCCGAGTATTCTTAGAACCCATAAGTGAGATGTGTTGGCAATGACGTAAGAGTATCTTAGGAATGGACTTTGAAATGAATATGGATATTCATTATTTTTGACAAATGTTAAGTTCAGAGAGCCTTGAGGGATGAGATCAAGCGTCTTCCTTGGTTACTACTAGTAAACATCAAAGGTCTGGGATAACCCTGAGCTGTAAACCAAAGTAAAACCAGTCAACAGTAGTTTACCCATTTGAATATCAATTCTTATTTAACGACAAGTCCAGGGTCGGGCAGTTCTTTTTTTTCTTTTTTTTAAAATTTTTTTATGTTTTATTTATTTCTGAGAGAGAGAGACAGTATGAGCAGGGGAGGTTCACAGAGAGAGGGAGACACAGAATCTGAAGCAGGCTCCAGGCTCTGAGCTGGCCGTCAGCACAGAGCCCAACGCGGGTCTTGAACCCATGAACCGTGAGATCATGACCTGAGCTGAAGTAGGCGCTTAAACGACTGAGCCACCCAGATGCCCCCAGGATCAGGCAGTTCTAAGGAAGGTTCAGCAGCTCAACGATGTCATCAAGAACCCAGCCTCTTTTTGCTTTTCTTCTACGCCGTCCTCTGCATGTTGGCCATTCGACCCTATGCGTGAACACTTACTATCACAAGATGGCTGCCACAGTGCCGCGCATCACATTTTTTTTCCCCCAAAGAAAATAGAACGGGGAAGGAACAGTCACAAAAAGTTTTCTTTCTAAAAGATCGGAGCCTAAAAGCATGAATCTTCCTCCAGGGCTGGAGAAGGAAGGGCCTCCTTCTCATAGGATCAAGGGATACCCGCATCTTCTTGAACGCAAAATTGGGGTTCTGTTAGCATGAAGAAGGAAGGATGGTGAGGGGGAATGATTGAGGGGAGCCTTGCCACAGAGGCTCATTAAGGCTGTTTTAATTGCAAGGAATAGAAATTGGATCCAGGTTAATTCAAATTAAGAAATACAGCTTTATTGGAAGGCTGGGACCAGTAGTTAATTTCCTATGGGGGCAGCCAGGATACACTCACTGGGTAAGTGAGTGGATCAGGGATGTAAGGACAACAGAGAGGGATGGACTGTAGCGAGAAACACAGGCCCTCTCCAAAGGGCCCAGCTATTGCTCTACTCTACCTGGTTTCGTTGCATGGTGGGATCTCCCAATTTTCAGAACAGGAATCTGGATCTTTACACGAAATCTCCAACTTTCAGTATGTTGGATCAAAACCTTTTAAGCGAAGTGTGAGCCCATACAGTTCATCCGTAAGCCAGGTTTGATTGATATGCTGCCAGTTTGCACCTCTGAGGGATTAGAAAAATCTCAGAAATAAAGTGCAGCCTGGTTTCCCAAATGGAACAGGAGCCAGGGAGCCACCGGAGCCTGAGGCAGGGCCCTCTCTGGATCCGTGGCTTGTTTCCACCCCTCTCTACAGACTGGCCTCCTTCTGCCTCTTCGTGGCTGCCGCACGGGCCTGACCATGCCCATGGCTTCCATTTACCCTGCCTCAACTCTGCAAACACATCTGACTCAGCTGTTCGGTGCACAGCTTCCAAATTCTCAGGGGAGGAAGCTAACTGGACCAGATTCATGTTGGTGCCAGTTCTGGTCCAATGAAGTAGGGTCAGGAAGGGGTGGAGTCAAGGGGTGGCTTTGGCCCTCCCTTTCAGCAGGGGGGCACAGACAGTCACTGGTATGTCTGGAGCCCACAGCAACACGTATGTTAAGTCTTGAGTCTGTTCACTATGACTGTTATAGATCATGTCATGGCATGTGGTCAGTGTGCAGGGAGTATCTACCATGTATCTATCAGGCATGATACTTAATACTGAGGATACAAAAAGGAATAAGACATGGTCCTTATCTTCATGCACTCACAGTGAGTGGGGGGAGCAGGCATAAACAGATCACCGTGATAATGTGATGTGAACCCTACTAGAGGGATGCAGAGTACAATAGGAGGCACACAGAGTGCCAATCTTGAAGCCCTACAATATCCCGAAGCCCCTTCTCACCCTTCACAGGTTCAGTGGTTTCAACCAGACTATAGTCACTGGTGACACTTTGCTGTATTCTGATTCTTTGACCCTTAAACATACACACACACCACATATAATCATTCTCGATTAATCAAGAATACTCTATGATGAACCACTTCAGGACCCCTGACCCCACCATGCCAGACAACAGAGCACCTCGTAAATTCATCAATAAGAAAACAATTCCACTCACAGCACCGTCAAAAAGAATAAAACACTTAGGAATAAATTTAACAAAAGGAGCACAAGGCTTCTACAAACCACAAAACATTGCTTAAAGAAATTGAAGATCTGAATAAATGGAGAAACGGTCCTTGTTCAGGGACTTACAGTCGTCAATCAGTACTCCCTAAATTAATCTATAAATACAACACAATTCCTATCAAAATTCCTGGCTGGGTCTTCTTCTGCAGAAATTGGCAAGCTGGTTGTAGAATTCATATGAAACTACAAAGGACTCAGAAAAGCAAAAAAAAAAAAAAAAAAAATCTTGGAAAAGAATAAATGTGGAAGACTCACACTTCCTAATGTAAAATGTTTTACAAAGCTACAGGAATCAAGATAGTACTAGCATAAGGAAAGAGATATAGATCAATGGAATAGAATCGAATCCAAAAATACACCCATATATTTATGATCAATTGACTTTTTTTAATGTATACTTATTTATTTTTGAATGAGGGGAGGAGCAGAGGGAGAGAGAAAGAATCCCAAGCAGACTCCACACCATTAGCACAGAGCCAGATGCGGGGGTCTATCCCATGAATTGAGCGGTCATAACCTGAGCCAAAATCAAGAGTCAGATGTTCAACAGACTGAGCCACCCAGGTGCCCCTATGGTCAATTGATTTTTGACAAAGGTTCCAAGGCATTTCAACAAGGAAAGATCATACTCTCTAAATTCATCAAGCTTCCAAGAATTCATTGAAAAATATGGTTACAGATCACCTTCAGGGAGGGGGCAGGAATGTTAGGTGGGAGGAAAGAGAAGAAACCAAGCATTGCTAACCCTCTTCCAGATCCATGTGAGTGGCAGAATTTCCCCCGAGCTCCTTCTGTTCTGAAGTTTAGGCAGAATTGAGAGGAAACCACATGTGAAGAGGTTCTTACCATTGACAAAAAAGAATGGGATGGTCGGTCACTCCTGATCTGAAAGTGCACTTCCTGGCCCCATATATTTTTATGACTTCACTGTGTTCTAAGTTCTATTGGGTTCCTGCTGACAACTAACCTTGATACATAGGGGTTGCTCTACCTGGGGAATTTTAGTTTGGGTAAAGTCATCACTTTGGTCAAAAACTAAATGCTGTGTTCCACTCCAAGCACCAAATCTTGTGAGGGTCCCTAGTCTTGAGCCAAATGTGACTATGAAGAGGAGAGAGCTAGTTCCTTATCAATATGTTTGCAGAGATAGTTGAGGAAGGTGATCGTTGACTTCCGTCTGGGTATTTTCCTCACAATGAACCTGGGGTTCATTGTTGTGCACTGGTTGAAAGAGGGGCACTGGAATCACCCAATTCCTGGCCCTGAATCTTCTTTCTACCCCTTTCCAGCTGCTGACCAGTACTACCTCTCTGTGCCTTGCTCATCTGTGAACGGAAATAAGAACAGTGTGTGTGTGTGTGTGTGTGTGTGTGTGTGTGGTTACACATTACATGAACAACTTATGCAAGAGTTTAGCACTACACCCAGTTGGAATGCAATAAATTTTAGGTATAATAATAATAATTAATAATTTATTCTTATTCTTAGGATAGGAACTCTACCTTGGCTCTTGGATCCCTCACTCTATTTAGCTCAGTGCCATCCAAAATCATGAAGATGCCACCGAACATGGGAAGGAGCAGACAGTGATGTTGTGGACATAGATGGCATGGAGTGGGCCAGTCAAGACCTTGTCACAGCACTTAGGGTGTCTTGGGTTCCCACATGTAGGAAGGCTTCCTCCAGGCTCTGGTCTTCTGCAAAAACCCAGGCAGATGCAAATCCTACCTCAGAGCCGGATGCAGATAATTAGGGATAAAGACGCTAAGGTGCTCTCTAGGTTCATTAAAGGCTTTCAGAAACATCTGGAAGTCCATTTGTCATCTCAGAGGGGTGCCAGCCAGAAGAGAGACTTTAAATCTGCCCCTGAACAAGGTCTATGCATGGTGAGTTCAGTTTTCTATGAAGGGATCCCTTGTGGGATGATCCCTCCAGTGGCCCCTCCTAGGGGTTACATGATGCTCACGGGGTCATTCAGCAGGTTGCTGATGCTGTTGGGAATCCTGGATGTGGGGCAGGTATCATATGTGGCTAGTTCAATGCCTCACCTCTTCTGTCTCCCTATACTCCAGCTCTGCGTGTGACCCCCTGCAAGGAAGTCTATTACAGCCTTCCCTCAAGAGTGCTCTGTGGCATCAGTGCTCTGGGCAAAAAGGTTTCCATAGCCAAATACCTTTAGGAAGACTGGGTGAAAGAACATCAGATAGATGTCTGTGCTGCAGGACTTTCTAGAACCTTTAATATGTTAGTGTAATTTGTCATCAAGTTACCTGACCTAACCTAAACAATCCTCAATTTTCTGCCTGCCCCTTTGATTTTTTAAAAAAATGTTTATTTTTGAGAGAGAGTGAGAGCAGGGGAAGGGGAGAGAGGGGGAAAGAAGATCCAAAGTGGGCTTCATGCTGACAGCACAGAGCCTGATGTGGGGCTCAAAACCATGAACTGTGAGATCATGACCTGAGCAGAAGTCAGACACTTAACCCACTGAGCCGCCCAGGCGCCCCGCTCCTTCCATTTTCTGAGCTTTCCTTTATTCTGAGAACTTCCAGTGTAACAGCCCCCAGCTGTTCTTCAGACTGTCAGGCCCGGAGTGGACAGAGAGACCCCAGTGACCAAAGGGAGCCCCGGAGAGGGATGGACTCGCATCTAGAAATGGACCTTGTGACTTTCCTCGCCTCTTGCACTTCTTGCAGAAAGGAGCCAGGGCTGAAGTGGAGAAGAGACAGCTTAGAGGGGGATGCACTGATTGGTTGGCCGAGGGGAAGATGGGGAGTCCTTGGGGAGGTGGTGATTACTGGTATTTTCAGAGGTGAGGTGGCGGCGTGCTGAGCAACTTCCTTTCTTCTAGAATTTTCCCAAAGAGGTTGGCTACCTCCAGGGCACAGCCCCAGTGGATGGTGAGCCCGTAGCCTCCATGGCCATAGTTGTGGATAACCTGGTAGATGAAAGAGAGAAGGTAGCCCAGTACGTCCTGGAAGACTCAGGAGCTTCCTGCAGAGCTCTGGACGAAGCCAGAGGGCAGCAGAGGACCTCTCAGCTCCCTGACGGGATGGTGGGGGCCCAGGAACACCAGTAAGGTGACTGGGGAGCTGGAGAGTCAACATCCTAGGTTCTCTTTTGCTTAGGAGATGGACCTGCTTTAGGCACTCAGCACAAGAAATGTAGAATCATCTAGAACTTGAGGTCAGGGATTCCCCTCTCCCAAGCAAATTGTTTAAAGTTCCCTAAAGCACCTTTCTTGTGCCTTTGCTGCTCCAGAATGCCAAATCTCCTGTATTAATGCATAGACTCTTGACCTTCTACTCTTCTACTCATCTATGGCGGGGCCACCATACGGGTGGACTCCGGTTAACATGCTAGTTTGTCCCAGGGACAGAGGCAAGACCCCTGGGGACTTTTTTAAAGCTATGATCATTGGCAGGGAGTTTGACTCCATGCATGATGCTTTCCTCATCTGTGTGTACATGCGCACGCAAGCGTGCACGCGCGCACACACACACACACACACACAAATGTGCACACCATATGCCCAGGATAAGGGAGGAAGGATGACCTACCTACCTAAGGAGGATTATTTTCCTATGGGGACCCCAGCCACTCAGGTCCATTCCTTCAGCTCAGGACAACTTCTGCCATCTCAATAAAGCCCAGTTCCTGCCCCATAAGAGGGAATGTGAAAGAAGGGCCCCAGAGAGATGACAGGGCAGCCACAAAATGGGCATCTGAAAAATGGCTCTGGAGTCCAGTTCAAACCATGTCCCAGCCATGCCCCTCACCAGCTGTCTGATTTAGGCAAATGATTCCACCTGTTGGATCCCCAATTTCCTCACCTGAAGCATGGGGGAAGCAGGCCCTATCCCAAAGAGCTGTGGAGGAGATTCAATAAGGTTGTTCATGTCCTGAACACAAAGCAGACTCAGTAAGTACCCATTTCTCTTCTACTCAACCCCAAGCTTTGACAAACTGAGGCACACTGCCCTCTATGCAACCTTCGACAGGTCCTTTACCATCACTGAGCCTCAATTTCTTTATAGAGGAGGGGATGTCAGCCAGTGTTGTTCTTTCCTGGCGGTAGGCTGTGTGGAGCCTCAGATGTCAGACAAGACTGGAAATGCCAGAGCCCCCTTTGGGTAAGGGAGGACCTTGCTTTCCTTAGCAGGAGAGCATACCTCTGTGTTTGAAGATGCAAAACGAAGCTGTTCTCTTTCTAGCCGAATCTGAGAGCGGACTGGCCGCAGGCCAGTCAATTCAGCAACAATTTTTGCTTCCTGGAAAAAAAAGTGTTAGTAATTCATCTCCGGATATTTTTTTCTGCTGCCATTTTTAGATGATCAAGAACCTCATTATCATCACCACCACCACCAACACCATCACTTTCATTAACCACCACTACTATGTCCACCTTTATCAGCCACCAACATCATAATTATCACTATGTCATATCACTGCCAGTTCCATGGATGACCCCTTCTCCATCCACCACCACTACCAGCCACCACCAAGATGCCAATGGTCACCACCTCCTCACCACTATTATCACCATCCTGAGCATATTCATTACCATCAGTACCACCACCACTTCCACCCCACCCTCATCAATACCACGTTTGTCATTGCTGCCGTTACTTGAGATTTCTACGACAAATATATCTGCTCCTTGTGAAGACAGACTAAGGTGCTTTTAGGGAAGTCACCACAAAACACAGCAACTCTTAGCCACAGACAGATAGGTGTCATCAGCTCACAGTAGGACTTCCTTGTACATTATCACATTCTGCTGTATTCCACAGTCCCTTGTTAGAATAAACGTGCCCAGTTATCTTGGTGGGGGGTATCTTCCCATCCTCAAGGGATCTCATGATCAAGCTGCCCAGACCCTAGTGTCGGGTACCAATACTCCTCCCCACCTTACCTTCAGCGTGGGCACCAATCTGCAGCAGCCTTCCCAGATGGTGTTGTGGTCTCGGGTATTGTTTACCTCGCTCCAGTTCCCCAGCTGAAAGATGCCTCCAAGAGTCACTGTCTGGATCCTAGATAAAAGTGAAGAGAGTCAACGAAGAGGGGCAAGGAAGCCTTTGAGATTAATGGGGGCCATTGGCATGCTCACCCTTACAACCATCTCTACCTAAATCCCTACTACCGTCCACATTGCCATCCCTGCTAACAATACCATCAACACCACTACCATTGCCACTGTCATTGCCACCCACCAGCATCTCTACCATCACCATCAATATCACTGTTGATGTTGTCATCTCTTCTAATGTACAACATGGTGACTATAGTTAGCAATCCTGTGTTATATACTTTAAAGCTGCTGAAAGAGTAAGTCATACACATTCTCACTATGCACAGAGAAGTTGTAATTATTAACTAACCTTATTGTGATAATCATATTGTAATACCTGCTTATATCAAATCATCATGTACATTGTAAGCGTGCACAGTATGTCAATTATTTCTTAATAAAACTACAAAAAATATCACCTGTCAACAGATGTCAACAACAGATGTCAACAATCTCTTCACTACTGCCTTCATTGCTACCATGAGTAGGTCATTACCATCAACCCCATTTACCATTTCTACCTCCACTATTCATGTCACCATTGATATTGTCATCTCTGCTACACCACTTAACATCGCCATGAAGATAAAACAGCCCCCACTTAACATTAACGTTGCAATGAACATTAATTAGCGTTGCCTTTGAGACTGTCATCTCCACCATAATACACATCATCATTGATAGTGTCATCTCCATCAGCACCAGATACTGCCTCCACTCCCAATCACTGCCATCATCATCGACCTCATCATCGACACCATGCCACCCCCATCAATGTCAGCCCCTGACCGTCCTTGTCCCAGTCACCACCCCCAGGGAGTGATTTCCCCATCAGTAACCATACTATCTCTACTACCACCATTCCACTATAAGTGATATGGTCATGCTATCAACACAACCACCATCTTCAGTAACATCATCACTCTTCCCTTAATATAATCATCACCTTTAACCCGGATCCCCATCCCCACCAGCACCTTTGTTATTTCCATCCACACCACTTTCAGGGTCTCTGCCCTTACACCCACTACCTTAGTCTCCAGTGTCACCACTAACTACTGTCATCCAAAAGTTTGTTCAAGATAGAGCCTAGTTAAGGCCAAGTCTTGCCTTCCCAGGGATTTAATGGCTCAACTTTGCTTAGAAAACATGGGGAGAAAAAGCCTTCAGGGAGTAAACAGAAGCTCGTGGTGGGCAGCAGAGAGAGGGGATGAAGATGCCCCCTCTTCCACCCTAAGATGGCAGATTCTTACCCTGGGATGATGTACGGGGACTTGTAGATGCCTTTCTCTGGCTCATGGGTGATAATGAAGTGCTTCATCCAAGGGGCATCCACCTGTTGGTTGAGGACAGATAAGCCTTATCAGGGGAGCTGGACCACTGCGCTTCCCTGTCCTCCTCCTCTCTGTGCCCAGATGTTCTGACAAGTGTGGCAGGGCTGATTCCTAAGCCCACTCCTGCCCCCTCTGCCCCGACTCTGCACTCTCTTGCTCTTGCAGGAAGAGCCACCCCTGCTCCCTGAAATATCACACACTCTCACCTACATGACCACAGGAAAGCCCCTCATGCATGTACAAGTACACATACACATCAGCCCACCTCAGGAACACATGTACACCCAACATAGGCACACGTACACACACACACCCCACAAATAGGCACTCTTCACTCATGTACACACATACACAGTAAGAGGCAATGTGGATGATGTTTATACACACAGGCTCTTAAACCAGGTTGCCTGGGTTCTAATCCCAATTCCACAACTCACTCCTGTGTGAACTTGTGCATATTACTTAATTCCTCCGTGCCTCAGTTTCCCCATCTGTAAAATAACAGTGGCAATATGATAGGCCCCATCTCAGAGAGTTCTGTTAAGCACTAAATTAATAACACAATAAAGTGCTCAGGCCTGTACCTCCATAAATGTTTGCTCTTTTTATTATAATACAAGAATATGCAACTTCTGTATTTGTGCAAAGATATACACACATGCTTTGCTATATTAAAAAAAACAAGAGAGAATGTTTGGAGGGGTCATGTCGGCCCTTCTTGTTTCTTTAACATGTCAACTGCCTGAAATCTGTGAGGCTCCTCTAACAGATGTCCCCGACGCATCCACCATCTTTGGAGAGGAAATACACAGGCAGCTATAATCTCTCCATGAAGAAAAGCAGGAGTTTCCATCCCTCATCTTCACACTCACCTTAATGATCTGTCCACGGCCTGGCTGCAGAAGGGGGTCCGGTTGTAGTGACCCAGCCCACACCCCAGTGCAGTTGATAATTATATCGGCACCTCCTCTTGCTACCTGGCAGCAATGAACAGAGCAGGTGGCGCAGAAGGGGTGAGGGCCCTGGCACCCTTTTCCCCCGCCTTCCCCCTGCCCTTTACCCTGCAGCTGCCTGCTCCCTGTGGAACAGCAGGGAAGGGGCTCAATGAGGAACCCATGGAACTAACCCCAAATCTCTGCTCTGCCATTTACCTGTTATGTGACCTCAGAAATGTTCTATCACCTCTTCAAGGCCCAGCTGCCTCCGCTATAAAGTAGGGCTAATAATATCTGTTCTTAGGCTGTGTGAGGATCCAATGTGACCCTGGATGTCAAAGGGCTTGGGAAGGAGTACTGTGGAAGGAGGGAACTTTCTTAGAACCTCCAAGAAGAAGTCAGATGCAGAGAGAGTTCTCTTCCTCCTTCTGACTCCTTTTTATTTCATTTTCTTGCCTTATACTCTGCTAAGGCATTTTCATAAGGCATGTTGAAAGCCCTGGCTCTGTGCACGTGTGGGACACTTGACAGCTCAAGGATGTAACATCACAGGCACCCAAACCCCCGGTCCAGCCCCTTCACAGGTTTGTGTGGGACACTCACATGGGAAGGCATTGTTGTTATTCAAGAACCAGTGTTTTCTACACTGGCCTGTGAACCCCTTGGGAATAATGGCTGTGTCTAAGTCAACCATGCCCATTAGGGCTCAATCTGGAGGAGGTACTCACTATATAATGCTAGTAGCTGCATGTACTGAGCACCTTCCATGTACCAAGCACAATTCTAGGTACTAGGGTTGAGTGACGTCATACAGCAAAGCTCCTGGTACCTAGCCAGTGCCTGGTGAGGATAGCTGTTATTGATGGTGGTGTTACTCTGGAGCTGAGTCAGCTGAGAGTCCTGACTGCAGAAACATTAACCCTGACTTAGGTAGGAAGCAATCAAGTATGTGGAATTCAAGAGTGGGGTGCAGCTGATACTGGCAAGAGCCAGCCAGCTCTCTGGGCCTAAAACCCACTGAGGCTCAGAGGTAGATTAGCCTCTAATGGCCACCGTAATCCTTCTGTTCCTTTGTTCCTGCCACCAACATCAAGGCAGAATGCTTGAGTCCTTCTGGGATTGAAGAAAGGCCTGGAGACTGGGACAGGCCTCAGGGGGCTCTGGGTGCCCAACAAGGAGGCCCCCAACCCCGCACCAGGAAGCAGAGGCCTCCCCTGCTCACCTCCCTCCCATATCCAGGCCCTTCCAGTCCTGCAACTCACCTCCTCAAAAGACTCCACCTTCTTCTGGAAGAATTTCACTCCCCTCTCAGTTAACCTGGGGTGATCAGACACATCAAAAAGCCCAGTACTCAGTTATTTGTCCCATCTCTCCAAGAGGATGGCATGGAGTGTTTCCCAAAGAACCTTCTGTGGACGTTAATACCACAGGATGCTCCTTGAGAAAAGGGCTGTGTGGTCAGATCAGTTCATGAGCAACTTGATGGACTGGTGATCCATGAAATGTCCCTTGGGAAACCTGAGATAGTCCAAGCCTCACGTCGGGCAAATGGAGATGAGAGAAGGGCCTTGCTGAAGGTCATACAGTAAGTCAATGATGGGATTGGGACTTAAGCTCAGGCCTGTTAGCTCAAAGCTCTTGCTACTACTACCACATTGCTTTGTACCATTAAAGAGAATGAGATGCAGAGAGGGGGAAGGGCAGGGTCGGACGAATGCTAAATGCCCCTTTGTCAGAAGCAAGGCATGAGGAGGAAGGTGGGTTGAGGACATCTACCCCTCCTTCAAAATGTCCCATAGGAAAAATATCTGTCTTTATTACAGATGTAATAGAGACATTAAAAAAAAAAACAAAAAAAAATGCCAGAAAATAAATCCTATGAAAAGTGAAGCATAACTTCAAGACTATTTTATCTACATTATTTCCTCAAGATAGAAAAAGTGGGAGTTTACTGTCTAGGAAGAGGCTAGACAGGAGTCATAGGTGTCCTAAGATTAGGAGAAATAACTATGTTTTTTATTGCTTTTCAGTTTTTTTCCAAACCTGGCTGATAATCAGAATCACACACATTTCTAAGCCCCACTCCAGAGGATCTGATGCAATAGATATAAAGTGGGGTCCGGAAATCTATATATTTTTTAAAGCTCTCCAGGTCATTTGATAAATTCTCCCATCCATTCTAGATTTTTAAAAATCTTAATAAAATAGTAATATATAGGAAATATGGAATCTTCCTTAAGATGACTATAAATATAAATATGTCTCTCAAAGCTGGTGTTTGCTAATTTAGAACACTATAAGATTCCTCTTTAACATTAGGAACATTAGTTAACATTGTTCTGGAGGTACTAGCCACAGCAATTAGACAAGAAAAAAATGAGGTATAAAAATAAAAGGCAACTTCTGTTTTACAGATGATGTAAATCTATCTGGAAAACTTAAGAGAATCCATTAAAACTCTAACACAAACATTATGTATTTTGGTGAGGTCAATAATAAATATCTCATGTAATGAGCTGCCCAGATGGTTCTGGTGCCCAGTCAGGTGTGGGAACCATGGTTTTAGTGCATAGAAGTTATCAGAACCAAGGATAGCTCCCACCAAGTCTAAGAGTTTTCTTGAACATTTGGGGTTGGACAAGACAAAGACAAATCCTATGAACAAGTGTCTACCACACCCTGGTCCCTGTAAGGTGTTTTCCTAAAACTAAAGTTGAAAGTCTCACCTTTCAGTCAGCCACTGTAGATACCTTCTCCCTTCCACAATCAGGCTTGTGTTGAACCAGCCATAGCTAGAGTCATAACAGGCAAGAGTGGGAATAAAGAATCAGAATCAGAGCTATATGAGAAGGCTTTCAAGTGGAGGTGGAAGCACTCTCTTTGGGTGGGGGTGGGGGGGCAAGAGTAGAGCCAGGACCACTGAGTGAAGTTCACACAGGGACTGATTTTTGGTGCACAGAAAATTTTTGTATCAGAAAATCCATCCCACAGGTGTGTTATTTCAAAGGGGCACACGAACCCCCAATATTTATAGTAGCACTGTCAACAACAGCCGAAGTATGGAGCCCAAATACACTCCACATGTGGTGGAAACATGTGGGTAAAGAATGAAATCTTGCCATTTGCAACAATGTGGATGGAACTAGAGAGTATTATGCCAAGCAAAATTAGTCAGTCAGAGAAAGATAAATATCATATGACTTCACTTATGTGTGGAATTTAAGATACAAAACAGATGAACATAAGGGAAGGGAAGCAAAAATAGTATAAAAATAGGGAGGGGGGGAAAAACATAAGAGAGTCTTAAATACAGAGAACAAACTGAGAGTTGCTGGAGGGGTTATGGTGGGGGGATGGGCTAGATGGGTAAGGGGCGTTAAGGAAGACACTTGCTGGGATGAGCACTGAGTGTTATATGTAGGGGGTGAATCACTGGATTCTATTCTGAAATCATTATTGCACTATATGCTAACTAGCTTGGATGTAAATTAAAAAAAAAACAGGGGTGCCTGGGTGGCTCAGTCAGTTCAGTGTCCAACTTCAGCTCAGGTCATGATCTCACAGTTCATGGTTTTGAGCCCCACGTAGGGCTCTGTGCTGACAGCTCCGAGCCTGGAGCCTGCTTTGGATTTTATCTCTCCCCCTCTCTCTGCCCCTCCCCTGCTCATGCTCTGTCTCTTTCTCTCAAAAAAAATTTTTTTTTATTTTTTAAAATAATAAATAAACAAACAAATACATTTTTTAAACTCATCCCTGACACTGGAGTGTGCAAGTGGAGATTGGACATGCATTTTTAGAGGGGATTCAGGCATGGGGTGTGGCGAGGGAGGTCCAAAGAGACATCAGGCTGCAAGGAAAAGAATACAGTGTTTGGGGTCACACAGACTGAGTTGGAATCCCATTTTGGTCAGCTGGCTTTGTGACCTTGGGAAGTCACTTAGACTCTCTGAAGCTCAGTTTCCTCTTCTCCAAAAGAGGGCAGCACATGGAACTTCTGGGCTTCAGCTCTGTGACTCCATAGCCCCCACCGCCTTAGCCCCGGGCCCCTTTGGGGAGGAGGGTAGCTTCTCCAATAGAACTGGACAGAGCACCAGGAGTCCAAGGCACCAGTGGCTCTTGGCCTGGGATGGGACAAGAAACTTGTGTCTCCATCTTCTGCTGCCTCCTGGACAGATCTGTCTGAACTGTGGGACCTTAGCCACTTTGCCCATGACAATAACCTCACCTGTAATCAGGAAACACATCCAGGTCTCTGGGAGTCAGCGTCCGAAATCCCAGAACTGTGTTCTTCCAGCAAGGATCCTGCCAAGGAAGGAGAGGAGTGAAAGTCACTAAAAGCAGTATCAAAGCTTAAACAATGTGTACTGTGTATAAGGTGCTAGTCCAAGCATTTTACTTACACCACTCCATTTAATATCCCCAACAATCCAGTGGGGCAGATACTATGCTTACCTCCATTTTCACAGATGGGCCAGTTGAGGCTTAAGGAGGTTAAGTAACTTGTCTAAAGTCACACAGCTAATAAATGATAGGGCTGAGATTTGAACCAATATAGTTTGGCTTCAGAGTCCATGGTCTTAACCGTGACACTATGCAAAGGAAAGGTGAGAATAAGGCTGAGGGCAAGCGATAGAGTAAGAGTCAGAAATAAGAGAGAAAAAGGAGGTGATAGTGTGGGTTACCTAGGGGTGAGAGTGAGAGGCAGCAGATAACAGGGTCAGACAACCCGGTGAAGGCTTGGGCCTCACCACAGACCATCTAGAATTTTCTGAGACTCCATTTTCTTGTCTGTAAAATAGAGTCAATAATCACTCTTGGTCCCGCAGAAGATAACAATGTGGGCAATGCCCTTAGCTCGGTGCTAACCATTAACTAAGCCTTAGACAGCTGGCCTGGGGGTTCTGGGCATCCAGCCAGCCCCACTCCTTCAAGAAACCTGAGAATATCCCCTAAGGCTGTGCCTTTCTTAACACACTGGGCACCACGGGGTCCCAGGTGGCCTGGGTTCAAATCCCAGTTCTGCCATTTTGTTTCTCTGACTCAGAGCAAGTTACTTCATTCCTCCGAGCCTCTATGTTCTCATCTGTGAAAAGAAGCCAATGATAGTGCTTACTTGCTGGTTATAATGAGAATTAAACTAGTCACTAGTTGTAATATAGTTAGGACAGGGCCTGGTACATAATGAGCACTTCAGTAGTTTGTGCCATGCTGAGTGTTTTAGTCTATCTTGGCGAAAGCCCTGGGACCCCCAGGGACCCAGGAAACCTTGTGGCCACAACATGAAATCGCCACCACTACACGACGTGTTTGACTCAACCACAGACTAGTTCCCCTAGTTCATCAGAAAATTCTTTGGTCTCTGCCAATTTAAGATTGGAACCCAAACTAATTTTGAAGCAAAAGTAGAAGTTAAAGTAAACCTGATTTGAATGCAAGAGTCAGTCCACCTACGAGGCTCAAAGTAATTCCTGGACTCAGCCTCCCAGCCCTGGCCTGCGATCCAGGCTCTGCCCCATGGTCAAGGACTCCTCACTCACCGGAATAGGTTCATGGAAGAGGTTGTAGCCTGAGACTAGAGCCAGGCCCATGTTTGCGGCGTTGGGAGAATGGACGCGGCTTAGGAGATAGTCGAAGGTCTTCTGGTTCCAGTCCCTGGAAGGATTCCCCCAGAGTCTTGGTCACCTCATACCCTGAGCTGGACAAGAAATCTTTGAGGGCTGGCTTGTGTGGGGTTATGATCAGGCTGGTGGGGATGTGTCCAAATCCAGAAATCTACCACGTTCACTTCTGCAGCTTCCCAAATGCCCATGGGGCCTTCCCCATCCCCAGACTTTCTAGTATTTCCCCACTCATAGGAAAGAGAAGAAAAGAACCATTTTGGGCCCACCTTGAACTTGGGATCATGTAGCTGTGAGCTTAAAAGAAGGCTTTGGGGCACCCGAGTGGCTCAGTCAGTTAAGCATCTAACTCTTGATTCTGGCTTAGGTCATGATCTCACAGTTCCTGGGTTCGAGCCCCACATTGGGCTCCATGCTTGGGATTCTGTCTCCCTCTCTCTCTGCTCCTCCCCTGCTCTCTCTCTAACTCTTTCTCCAAATAAATAAATAAACATTTAAATAATAACAATAAATGAAGGCTTTGACCTGCTCAAGCCCTTCGAGCCCCACAGTTTGGGCTCACTCTGAGCATCACACACACCCCCACACACATAAATGCCGACAGTGGACTGTGGCGTGCAGCTCCCAAACACTTTCCTTCTCTTCCTCCTGGGCACAGAACCCATTTACATCTCCGGACTCCCATGCTGCTGGGTGTGGCTGTGTGACTGCGTTCTGGCCAATGGACCCTAAAGACTTCACGCTTGGTCCTCATGCTATGCTCCTGAGCATACCGATATCAGAACGTAGAGTGGTCACATCAGAAGCCACGAGAAGGACAGCAGAGCTATGAGATGCAAGGAGCCTGGGACCCTGAATTGTCACCTGCTTATCAGGAACATTGGTTTTGGAATTGATGGGAGAATGTAACTTCTGTCTGAGTTGTTACACACTTGTGGATTTCTGAAGCAGTTTACAATTTCTCAACAGACATAATAACCTTTGCAACTTCTTTGTTAAACCGGAGCATCCATCCACCCACTTAAAAGTATTCCTGAACCAGATGTTCCTCGAAAAGTTAAAAATAGAATTACCCAGGGGACCCTGGGGGGCTCCATCGGTTGGGCAGCTGACTTGGGCTCAGGTCATGATCTCACAGTCTGTGAGTTCGAGCCCCATATCAGGCTCTGTGCTGACAGTTCAGAGCCTGGAGCCTGCTTCAGATTCTGTGTCTCCCTCTCTCTCTGTCCCTTTCCTGCTCGCACTCTGTGTCTCTCTCTCTCTCAAAAATAAACATTTAAAAAAAATAGAATTACCTATGATCCAGTAATCACATACTGGTTATTTACCCAAAGAATACAAAAGCACTAATTCAAACGGATACATGCATCCTGATGTGTATAGCAGCAGTATTTACAATAGCCAAGATACGGAAGCAGCCCCAGCATCCATCACGTGATGAATGGATAAAAAAGATGTGGTATATACATATATACATATATATATATGTATATATATATATACCACACGGAATATTACTTAGCCATAAAAAAAATGAAATCTTGCCCTTTGCAATGGATGGGGCTAAAGAATATGATGCTAAGTGAAATATATCAGAGAAAGACAAAGACTATACAATTCCACTCATATGTGGAATTTAAGAAACAAAACAAAGAGGGAAAAAAGAGAGAGAAACAAACCAAAAAACTGATCCTAACTGTATAGAATACACTGATGGTTACCAGACAGGAGGGGGGGACGGATATTGGTGATGGGGAGTAAGGAGGGCACTTGTGATGAACACATGTTGAATCACTAAATCATACACCTGAAACTAATGAAACACTCTATGTTAACTAACTGGAATTAAAATAAAAACTTAAGGGGCGCCTGGGTGGTTTAGTCGGTTAAGTGTCTTCGGTCCAGGTCATGATCTCGAGGTTTGTGAGTTTGAGTTCCACGTCAGGCTCTGTGCTGACAGCTCAGAACCCAGAACCTGCTTCGGATTCTGTGTCTCTCTATTTCTCTGCCCCTCTCCTGCTCACGCTGTTTCTCTCTGTCTCTCAAAAATAAATAAGCGTTAAAAAGTGTTTTTAATGGTAAATTTAAAACTTCAAAAAAAAGAAACTGTTAAATAAAAATGATTAATAACTGTCACAATGAGCAAATTCAGGGGAAATAGATCTATAAACTATTAAATACAGCTAAGAGACTATTAAAGATAGCAATCAGAATAAGTTCAAAAGAATTGAAAGACCTTTTTATGAATTTATATATGGAAGAAAATATGTCTCTGAGGGCAAAATTGTTCCCTGCAGTACTCAGTTTCAAAAACTTTGGTGAATTTTGTCCTTCTTTATAATTATTGCTGGGGTTTGAAGGCTCTGTTTTCTGTTAGCCACTGGGGAAATCAGATGAAAATGACCTTTAAATAAATAATTATAAATGAGGAAAAGAAAACCCAAAGTCTTCCCGATCACACAGATCATGTGAGGAATGGGAGAAAGCCACCATTTGGCACATAGTAGGGCTTAATATTTATTAGTATTTCCTTTTAAGCCTTGACAAGGAGCTTGTTCTTGGTGACAGGAGCACAGAGAGGGGACATCCCCTCTTCAAACTCAGCCCCTCCAGTCCCCAGGCCACTCTCTGGGACCCTCACTCACGCCTCCTGTGGGTTTTTAGGGTCCAAGAGGTAGGGCTGACAGAGGCCGGCTGCCACGTCGGTGTTTGTGAGCGGGGTGAAGCGGTCTGCGTAGACCCTCATGTCCAGGGACGGCAGGACTGAATGGTAGCGCTCGTGGATGCAGAGGGCACTGGACAAGCCAATGACGCCCGCTCCGATCACTACCACGCGCATGGTGCTGGCCTGCAGGAAGGAAGGGTTGAAGGGTGCTGTCACCACCATCACCACCATCCACTGAAAACTTAGAAGGTGCCAGACACCACCACACCCCTTCTATACCTGACCCTCTTGATGACCCTCACACACGGAAAAACTGAAACATGCAGAGGCCAAGCAACTTGCCCAAGGTCACGCAGCTGGTAAGGGATGCTGCCCTGGCCAGGGAGCCTCCTCGAATACCCCGCCCCAGCCCGGGAACACAGAAAGGACAGAGCAGAGCACCTGGCCAGCTATAGACTGGGAGTCTAGGACAATGGGCTCTAGCGTCAAGTCTCGTACCTCAACTCTGCCACCTACTGGCCATCGACCATGCAGATGAGACTTCAACTTCTGATAAGTGGGAAGGAAAAATGACTCCTACCTTGGACAATAGATGGGAGATTTAGCAAGACGGCCAATGAGAAACACCTTAACACAGGGTCAGGTGCAAGAGAAGAAGTAGTTGACTGACATTTGTGGAACACCTACTGTGTGCCAACCCAGTGCTAAATGCTTCCCGTGCATCATTTTTTCTGAGCCTTCCCACATTCTTCGGAGGCAGGGGCTGGTGTTATTGGCCTCATTGGACCGTTGAGGAAAGGAGGCTCAGAGAGGTGCGCCAAGTCACCTGAGGTCACACAGCCAGTAAGTGGTGCTGTTGGGATTTAATTTGCATCCAAGTAAACTCAACGTACACTTCTGGCACACCTGCTGGGCACCGAGCTGGCAGCTAGTGGATGTAATGTCTGGCTTTAGAACTCAGATCTTCTAGCACACACACTCAGTCAGGGCCAGCCTTGGGGCTGGGCTGGCTGGGTCCTCAGAAGTTTAAAAGGCCCAGCAACTTTTGACCTTGAAGCTGCTTGGGCCCAGCACAGCAGGAAAATATTCTGCCCGCTCCTGCTGAGGCAGAACAAGGGGACTTTTTATGCCCGGAAGGGCCAAGTTCGACTTTCCCTCCTCTACACTCACAGCCCTCCTCCCTCGGACCAAGCCTCCTGGCAGCCCCGTGGCCCCGGTCCGCAGGACATCCTCAATACGGCCTAGTTTTGTAAAAGGGGAAAACGGCTCCAGTCCACAAGAACTGGACTCCTTTGGGGTTTCAGCAGCCAAGTTGGAGATAAAACCACAAAACGGAAAGGCATTGTTCCTCTGGGCCGGTCCCCTTCCGGCTGCGAGGCTTGGTTGCAGGGCAGACCCTCTGGGGGATTCCTACTCCTCCCATCCCTCCTCCCCCCTACTTTGCCTCAGGAGATTCAATCTCCTCATCTATAAAATGAGAGTAACCCTGACCTCACCGGGTCATCCTGAAAATTAAACCACTAGCTTGGTGGAAGTTTCTAGTATGGCGCCTGGCACAGAGTAGGCCCTCAATACGTAGTGACCTCCTTCTGTCCCCCAGCGCCTTGAAAATCCCAACAGAAAGAACACTGGCGGAAGGAGAAGAGGAAGAAGGGAGGATCAGATCTGGCTTTAGTTCTGACTCTCTGTGTGGCCTTGGCCAAGTTACTTCCCCTCTCTGGGCCTTCTGACTCTCTCTGCATAACTCTGGAGAGCTGACAGCTTTTGTGCATTAACGATAAGAAGGCACAGCGCAGCGAGGTGGCAGTAAGAGCCCAGGCTGGGGGTGGACGTACCTGGGTTCACAGCCTGGCTCTGGCGCACACCGGCTGTGTGGCCGCGGGCAAGGCGCTTAACTTGACTGAGGGAGATTGATCAACCTCCCCGGGTTCCTAGGTCTGAGGGTATTCCCGGGATGTGGGCATTGAATGCTAAAACCAGGAGAGTCCTGAGCCGGACCAGGAGTTGGTCATCCTGACTTCAGACTCTGTTTCCTTTTCTGTAAACTGTTCAGGGTTAACAAAGCTCCCTGTCGAGTCCCCCCACGAGAATATCAGCTCCGGGAGGGCAGGGACTTTTATCTACCGAGAATAGTGCCCGGCCTATAGCAAGGACTCATGAAGGAACAAAAGAAGGAAAGAAAGAAGGGTCTAAGGAAGGGATAGAAGGAAGGAAGTTCTTATGAGGATCAAAAAAGACATTACTGGTTAAGCGCTGGGGACCTCATAAATGACAGCAGTGATTGTCACCCAGTTGACAGGTGAGGGAGTCGAGGCCAGAGAGAGCAAGGTAGTTATTTGAGATCATAACAAGAGTTGGAGGAAAGGTGGGGTGTGAACCCAGCTCTGCCTTTTCCAGGGTCTGATTTTTTTTTTCCCATCACCTTGTCACCTAGAAAACCAGCAAAGGACGGAGAAAAAGAGGAGCTGCTTATGTAATAGGAATGGCAAAGCATGAGAAGGAGCGTGTGAGCCCACGCCCCCCAACCAGAAGTTTCTGGGCAGGGAGAAAGAAGCTTTGGACCACAGCAGAGCTGGGCTACCGAATGTCTCCAATAACCAGGCTGTTCAGGTGTGTCAAAGCCTCTGGTTAGGAGCAGGGGCATGTGCCCCAAAGAAGAACATGAAGGGGCACCTGGGTGGCTCAGTCAGTTAAGCTTCTGACTTCAGTTCGTGTCATGATCTCATGGTTTATGAGTTTGAGCCCTGTGTCGGGCCCTATGCTGACAGCTCGGAGCCTGGAGCCTGCTTCGGATTCTGTGTCTCCCTCTCTCTCTGCCCCTCCCCCGCTTGTACTCTGTCTCTCAAAAATAAACAAACATTAAAAAAAAAAAAAAAAGAGCCTGAGGGAGGCCCAGAGCCATGTCTGGAACCAGCAATGTTGGACTCAGTTTCTCCAGAGTGTAAAATTCTAAAGATGAGTGAGACATTGCTATACAGATGGGGAAACTGAGGCCTGGGAAAAGAGGAGAGACTCAACCAAGATGACACATTCGTGATAAAAGGGTTTGTGGGGTCTTGGGGTGAAAAAAACCTCCGTGAAAGGCAAGAATAGGTTGAGGCAGAAAAAGAACTGGGACTATAGAGATCACATGTCGTGTGAAGTCACGGCGCTAAGAACTTCACACACTTTATCTGCTTTCAGTTCCTGACCATCCTCAGGGTTATCATTATGCCCATTTTACAGATGAAGCAAGTAAGAGGCTCAGACACCCACCCAGCTGGTGAGAAGCAGAGCCCAGCACAGCCTGACTCACACAAGTCCATGCCCCTGAACACCGTGCATGCTGGGCTGGCAAATCACACTATCTGGAAAATCTGAGGGTTACGCAGAAAATAAACAGCTAATATTTCAGAGTCCTGCGCTGAAAAAAAAAAAAAAACATAAAATAAAATATGTGTAGGAATTTTTAGTGTGTTGCTGGTCAGCATGGAATTGAAAAGGAAAAATGTGTTTCCTAAGCTAATCATATTGAACTACATGAATCCAATCTGATGCTGATTACAGCCACCATGTGTTACAGTGCAATGTAAATGCACGAGGTTCCTTTTAGGAGCAGGAGCTAGACTGAAGGATTTGACAGACCCAGCCTCAGGTAAAATCAATAATGAATGTGGGATAATGAACTTGTAGACTCGCATGCACACGGCTCGATTACAAAGTCAACCATTTTCTCGTTGTTGCTGCTGTTTCTATGAGTGCTGCCGTTCTCCAGTGTCTTATGCCATGAATTCAACCGAGAGTGCTTGGAGTGTGCATCCAGGAAGATGCTGAGGTTCTCACTTCTATGTGTGCGTGTGTGTGTGTGTGATTACAAAGTCTCCGTAAGTGTGCAGCAGGAAGGGAATTTGGGGTGTCCGCCACTCACCACTTATACGTAGATCTCGTATCGACATCCTCTTACTTAATCCCCTCAGCTGCTCTGGGAGGTTCTGCAGACACGTGGCTGAGGTTCAGGGAGAGGAAGTCACTCTCCCAAAGTCACCCAGCGTGGGACAGGGCTGGGATCTGGACCCTGTTCTGTGGAGTTTTCTGCTCTATAACTATTAGGCGGCGGGCAGAAGTGCTTGCTTTTCAGTCTCAGTATGTGTTTGCTTATAATCCTCCTTGTCCCTAGAAAGGAATTGGGGCCAGCTTGTGCCTTTGATTGCCATTTGCGTGTACAAAAAAAAAAAAAAAAGAAAGAAAAAAGAAAGACTTCTAAAACAAATCAACAAGTCACAGGCAAGGTATTTGAATAAACATAATCAGGCTGTGTGCCCTGCAGCTACTTTCTTATGAGGTTGATATTTTCACAATTGATCTTGAAAATGGAACAAATTCTATAAGTGCTTGATAACCAGCCTATCAGCTCCCTGCCCCCAAATAATAATTACCTTTTACCGAGTACTTGCTGTGTGCCCAGTTCTGTTCATCCCCTCTTTGGATACTCAAATTAACCCTGCAAGAGTTGATTATGACCCCTGCCTTCCAGATGAGGAAAAGGAGGTCTGGAGGAGGCGTAGGCACCTGCCTGGCTCCGGGGCAGTTACCGGCCTTGGGCTCTAAGGAGGAGCCTTGACGCCCTTAATGCCCGGAGGACCTGGGGCCCTGGTGTGCCGCTACCCCCACTCACCTGATTGCCAAACTTCTGAAGAAAAGAGGCAGCTGCTGTGGGCGCAGGATCTTACCTCCTGAGACAAGTCTCCTGCTTCTGGGGCGTCCTGTCCTCACTCAGCCCTCTGGCCACCAACTGGGACTCAGGATCAAAGTCTGGACTTGTGGGCAGGATACTGCAAGGGGTAGGGCTTGGCACTGCTGCTTCTCGCAGTCTGGGTGACCTCCCCTCCCCTCCTCTGGTCCCTGAAAAGTTGCCTGACTTTTCTGGCCGGTCCTGAGCCCCTGTGGACAGCCCTCAGCGGGGAGGGCGGGCAGCAAGGCTGATGGGGACAAGGAGGTCTGTCTCCGGGGCCAGCTGGAGACGATCCTCCTTCTTCCCTCTTCCTGCTGCCGCCCTGGGGGAGGGGAAGATTGCTCCCTGAGCCACTGTGGGCCTGGTCAGCCTGGCGGCCCTGCGGGGAGGCCGGAGATACAGGGCGGGGGCTCCAGGGGCCAGCCGGCCAGTCTAATGCCATTCTGGAATGCTGGGTGCATGAGGCCAAGGAGACGCTCAAGGCGACGCCTGTTTGGGTGGCTCTTTGTTCCCGTATCCCAGAGACCCAGGCGGCAGGACTCCAGCTCCCTCCTCTGCCGGGGCTAGACCTGGAGCTGCACTTACTGGAGCCAAACATCACCAGGCACCTCACTACGTGGATGGGGAGACTGGGGCCCCAAGAGAAATGGGCAAGCCCCCCCCCCCGAGGAAGGCATCCTTTGGGTCAGCTTTGAAGACCCAGCCCCCCCTTCCCTATCTTTAGCATCGAATAAACAAGTTTGGATGGGGCGCCTGGATGACTCAGTCGGTTGACCGTCAGACTCTGGCTCAGGTCATGATCTCATGGTTCCTGAGTTCGAGCCCCCCATCCGGCTCACTGCTGTCAGCGTGGAGTCTGCTTCTGATTTTCTGTCTCTCCCTCTCTCTCTTTCTCTCTCTCTCTCTCTCTGCACCGCCCCCCATTCAAAAATAAATAAACATAAAAAAAGTTTGGATGAAATAAGAAAATGCATACAATATATTTAGTGCATGGTATTTTTTTAGCAATAATTTTTAAAAGGATGGGGTGAACTCTGCCCTTTGTATATTTTAACTTCATTTGAATATTTTAAATAATCTTCATGCTTCACTTTTATATCACATGACTTTGTGCCCCTCGTTCATGGGAATATTTATTTGTTTTTTAATGTTTATTTTATTTTTGAGGGGGAGGAGGGGCAGAAAGAAAGGGGCACAGAGGACCCAAAGCGGGCTCTGCGCTGACAGCAGAGAGCCCAATGAGAGGCTTGAACTCATAAATCATGAGATTATGACCTGAGCCAAAGTCCAACTTTTAACCACTGAGCCACTCAGGTGTCCCCCATGATGGGAATAAAGTTAACGAAAATTTGCCAGATATCTTCATGTGCCCCCCACTCCTTTCCTAGCCGTGATATAGGTCTGTAAGTTTCAGTGTGCCAGTTGAATTTATAATAATATATTTTTAAGTTTATTTACTTATCTTGAGAGAGAGAGAGCATGAGTCGGGAAGGGCATAGAAAGAGGGAGAGACAGAATCCAAAGCAGGCTCTGTGCCGTCAGCACAGAACCCGTAAAAGGGCTAGATCTTGCAACCGTGAAATCAGACCTGAGCTGAAATCAAGAGTCCGACGCTTACCGAATGAGTCACCTAGGATCCCCTTTATTTATTTATTTTTTAAATTAGTTTATTTATTTGAGGGAGGGATGGGCAAAGAGAGAGGGAGAGAGAGAATCCACGCTGTCAGCGCAGAGCCCAACCTGGGCTCCATCTCACGACCATGAGATCATGACCTGAACTGAAATCAAGGGTCGGCAATTAACCACCTGAGCCACCCAGATGCCCCACAATGTTCCAATTTCAAATACTTAACCTGGATGATCTCATTGCATCTCAGAACAGCCCTGGACACCAGGTGCTGTTATGATCATCCCTCCCTTCAGTTCAAAAACATCCTCCCCATATCCACTAATGCTAAACGTACACTTACATAATCCCCAAACCCAGCAACCCCGATTCTTACCCACATACCTATGAGAAATGAAAACATACATCAACCAAAAGTCTTGTACAAGGACATCTATAGCCCCAAAGTGGAAATAAGTCAAAGATCTATTAGCTGGGGCATAAAAGAAACAGATGGGGTGAGGGTGGGGTTCGGACAATCCCCACCATGAAATATTATACAGCAATGAAAAAGACAAATGCTACCGCACACAACAGCCTGCATGAATTGCAGTCACTATGTTTCAGAAGAAGCGCATACGGCATGCTTCCAGAGATACGAAATTCAAGGAAATGGCAAAGCTAATCAATGGTGACAGAGACTGTGGGGAGACTGTCTCTGGGAGAGGCACTGATGAGGGTAGGGACACAAGTTTTTCTGAGAGTCTGGAAATGTGCTCCCTAATCTGGCTGGTGGTTATGGGAATGTGTGTTTATACAAAAATCTATCCAGCTGCGCATTTAAAATTAACAGCAATGTATCTGACACAGTTAGAATAGGGGCGAGGAAGAGCAAGAAAGGAGGAAGAAAAGAAGGAAGGAAATCCCGCAGGGGCATAGGGCTCCCTTGGTCTTGGTGATGACCAGGACTTTAAGAAACTATTCTTATTTTTTCACTTTTTTTTCAATGTTTATTCATTTTTTGAGAGAGAGAGAGAGAGACAGAGCATGAGTGGGGGGGGGGGTAGCACAGAGAGAGAAGGAGACACAGACTCCAAAGCAGGCTCTAGGCTCTGAGCTGTCAGCAGAGCGCCCAACACAGGCTCAGACTTGTGAACCACAAGATTATGACCTGAGCCGAAGTTGGACTCTCAGCCGACTGAGCCACCCAGGCTCCCCATTAAGAAACGCTTCTGGGGGCTCCTGGGTGGCTTAGTCGGTTAAGCGTCCGACTTTCGCTCAGGTCATGATCTCGCGGTTCATGGGTTCGAGCCCCGCGTCGGGCTCTGTGCTGACTGCCAGCTCGGAGCCTGGAGCCTGTTTCAGTCTGTGACTCCCTCTCTCTCTGACCCTCCCCTGCTCACGCTGTCTCTCTCTCTCTCCTAGAAATAAATTTAAAAAAAAAGAAACTCTTCTGAATACACAAAATTCGCTGATCATAACAATAGAAGTTCCCCCCCCCCCAAAAAAAAGCCCCAGAAGACCTTTGGAATCACTTTCTGTATATTTGGGCGGAGTTGCAGGAGTCCAAGTTCCTTCTGTTCCAGTGGTTGGTTGATAAACAGCACGGCCCCATAGCAGCCCTGAAATACACTCGGTTAGGGCAAAAGGGTCATTTACCAGGAGAATTTCCCGCAGGAGGCAGAATTCTGGGTGTGGCAGGTGAAGTTATAGAATAACAGGTTAATGCACACCCACTCTCCCTCAGATAAAACTCATTTATTATAACTTTTCTAAGTGTTGATTGTCATGACCTCTGTAAATGTCTACAACACAGGAGGTATAAAGATAAAAGGACCCATCACGTGCGGTCAATCCGACCACCAGGAAGGAGGCGCTGTTAACAGTGGGCGAATATCCCGGAGACAAGATGGGACCATGTTGTGTGTGCTGTGTCTCCTGGTCTGCCCACTTATCAATACGGTAGGTCCTGAATATCTTTCCATACGACTCTGGAACAACAGCATCTGTTTCACACAGGGTACTACCGTCCAGGGATATAACAATTTTGCAAGTTAGTCCCTAAAAGGGCGGTGTCCCTAGGATTTTTTTTTTTTTTTTGATGTTACAAACAAATATCTTGAGGGTGTTGGCACACTCGTCAAATTATTTCCTTAGTCTTGATTCCTAAAAATGAAATCTTTGTGCCGAAGAGTTTGCATGTTTGAAACGTTCATCCATTTTGCCAGATGGCCCTCTGGAAGGGCTATATCGATTGATAAATTTAAAGGAGGTGCCCACCTTGTACTTGCACCATCCCGACAGTGAAAGCCTGCTTAAATTTTGCACAGCCCCCACCCACCGCTCCCTCTACCTAGTTCCAGCCCTGCTGATGACATTGCCAAGCCTCTCCCATGGTGATGGGCTTTTTGGAATTTCTTTATACAGTGTCTATGTATGTATGTGTGATGTATGGTTTTTTTTTTTAACTTTTATATATTTATTTATTTTGAGACAGAAAGAGCTTGAGTAGGGGAGGGGCAGAGAAAGAAGGAAAGAGAGAATCCCAAGCAAGCTTCACACTGCCAGTGCAGAGCCTGACGCAGGGCTCAATCTCACCAACTGCAAGATCATGACCTGAGCCGAAAGCAAGAGTTGGACGCTTCAGTGACTGAGCCACCCAAGCACCCCATGATGTATGTATTTAGCTCATTTTTCTCTTGAAGTGAGTTGCCTATTTTTCTTTTTGATTTGTAAGAATTCCCTTTTTTAAAAAATTTTCTTAATGTTTATTTTTGAGAGAGAGAGAGAGACAGCGTGAGCAGGGGAGGGTCAGAGAGAGGGGGAGTCACAGAATCTGAAGACAGGCTCCAGGCTCTGGGCTAGCTGTCAACACAGAGCCCGACGCGGGGCTTGAACCCACGAACCGTGAGATCATGACCTGAGCCGAAGTCGGACGCTTAACCGACTGAGCCACCCAGGTGCCCCAAGAATTCCCTTTATAGTTATGGGTTTCCTCCTTCTGTTGCAAATAGTTTCCTCAGTTTGTTATAAAAAGATTTTAAGCCTTTTTGTAGTCAAATCTATTCATCTTTTTTTTTTTTTGTCTTCATGGTTTCTGCCATTAGCGTCAT